GGGAGGGCAGCACGGGAGGGCAGCATGGGAGGGCAGCACGGGAGGGCAGCAAGGGAAGGCAGCAGGGGAGGGCAGCACGGGAGGGCAGCACGGGAAGGCAGCATGGGAGGGCAGCAGGGGCGGGCAGCACGGGTGGGCAGCACGGGAGAGAAGCACTGGAGGGCAGCATGGGAGGGCAGCAGGGGCGGGCAGCATGGGAGGGCAGCACAGGAGGGCAGTGCTGGGAGGGGGTGAGGCAGAGCATGGGCTACAGCCCGGGGGCATAAATGGGTTTGAGTAGGGCTGAGGGGGCCGAGCTGGAGCTGGAGGAAGAGGAGGGAAAGAGGGAAGGGGCGGGAGGGTGTCGCCCAGCTCACTCGGCCTTACCAGCAGTTTCCCAGCAGTCCCTGCAGGATGTCCGAGGGCCGCGGGGTGCGGAACACTGACCACTTCACTGAGCGGTCCTTGAAGATGCTGCAGCTGATCTCGTGGGGCCGCAGCCACTGCTTCACCCGCTGCTGCACGCTGTCACCTTCCGGGAACCCCACGGACTTGGGCCCGGGGGGGAAACTGTCGTCCACAAAATTGACTTTGTTCTGTGAGGGCAAAAGGCAAGGAGAGCATTAGTTGGAGCCACTTGGGACTGCGGGGCCTGGAGAGCCTCCCACTCCCCCCTGAGAGACAGCAGACCTCGCAGCCCTCCTGCGTGGCCCAGGCAGTCCCTTCCCAGCCCTGCACGGGGGCAGGACTACACTGGTGTCTGCTGGCAGCAGCAGAGATGCTTTTTGTGCTTCAGGTCCAGCATTCAGCCTTGCTTCAGGCTCACCTCTCCGGTTTCAGGCTCTGGGCTGTGACTCCAATCTGCCTTTTTCTATTGCACAGGAGCCTCCCTGGGCAGGGACCGTCTCACACTTTGTGCTGGTGCTAAAAGCTGGGCTGTGGGGGGCCTTGGCTGCCTCCATAAGCAGCAAAGCCTGCAAACAGCAAGGCTTCGAGGAGCCACCTGGCATGCAAACACACCTCAACCCAAGCCTCGTCCCTGCCCCGGAGGGGACAGCTGGGCTTGGCAGCCCTGTGACACCCCCCAGGCACGTCCAGGGGGAATGGGAGGGGCAGCTTTTGCAATTGCATTCAGCCAGACCACAACCAGGCAAGCAATTTCAGAGTAAGGGTATCCCACGTCCCAGCCCTCCTGCAATAGCTGCTGTGTCATAAATAAATAGGATGGGTGGAAGGGCAGGTAATGCCATAGGCATTAACCACATGGATAGAAGCACAGAACTTCACCAAGTGGAGAAGGGTGGCTTTTTCAGTCTAACACAGGGTAAAATGAGAACAGGTGTTTCTTTGTTATTGTTAATTAAATTAAATTAAATTAAATTCTTTCAGCAAAAGCTGGCTCTGATTTAAATTAGCTTTACGCACACCAAATTAGTAGTTGACCTCCTCTTTTGTGGCAATCCTACCTGAATGCTTCCTTTGTGGTGCCTCATTTAGCAGCTCCAGCTCCTCTTTTACAGGAGGGTGTTTTTCAGCTAATAGCTGTCCTGCTCTTTCAGGGGAGCATCTCCCCCGGCAGCTGAGAAGCAGCCACCACTCCAGCAGCCTCAGTCACAGCCTGGCTGGGGACCTGGATGTGACCCATCTCTGCACATGGATCTCTGGGCTCTGCAGGAATTTGTTGTGCAGGGCCATAAGGACACGAGGGAGAGGATTCACGCCCTCTACTCTGCCCTTGTGAGACCTCAGTTTTGTCCATCTCTGGAGGACTCAGCATAAGAAAGATGTGGATCTGTTAGAACAGGTCCAGGGGACCCCATGGAGATGCTCTGTGGGCAGGATCCCCCCTGCTCTGGAGCCAGGCTGGGAGAGCTGGGGGTGTTCCCCTGGAGAAGGCTCTATGGAGACCTCAGAGCCCTTCCAGTGCCTAAAGGGGACTTATCAATAAGAGGGAAAGCAATTTTTCACATGGACAAGCAGTGATGGGACAAGGGGAATATTTTAAACTAAAAGGGGAGATATTTAGATTGGGTACTGGGGAAAAATTCTTCCCTGTGAGGGTGGGAAGGCCCTGGCACAGGCTGCCCAGGGAAGCTGTGGTTGCCCCATCTGTGGAAGTGTTCACGGCCAGTCTTGACAGGACTTGGACTAGCCTAGTGTGGTGGAAGGTGAGCTGGGTTGGCAGGGTTGGAGTGAGATGAGCTTTAAGGTCCCCTCCAACCCAAACCATTCTGATTCTATGATTCCAGTGGAAGAGGTCAGCTCTGCACTGCTCCTCAACAGAAGAGAAAGGGTAAAACTAAAATAGGGACCACACACTGAGAAGAGCTGGAAAGGGCATCCCTGGAATAGCAGATGAAGGAAAACCCACAGCAGGAGCTCGAGCAGAAATCCTGGCAGGGAGCAGCAAGAGGAGCTGCTCCGCATGACATGGGGCAGGGGACAACAGACAGAGGAGAACTTGGCCAGTGTGACTCCTCCAGGGGAAGGCTGAACAGCTGGGGCAGCTCGGAGGGACCTCACATGCCAGCCTGGCCAGGAGCACTGCGAAGGGCACCGAGAGCAGGGTGAGCACAGGGACGGGAGCAGCATCGTCCTTCCACTGCTGCCAGGCCTAACCTCACACCCAAACAGTGTCAGAGCACACCTGGGGTTGGGGTGGAGGGGGATTTTTGGGAGATGGCCCACTCGGATCTAACGGTCCATTACGAGTGAGTTAAGGAGCACAACAGGCTCAGCTGAGGTTCTGGCTGAGCACTGCGGGACGGGGCAAGGCAGGCGCCCCTTCCTGGCAGTGCCACACGGCTCATTCAGCCTGGCCATCATCATGATTCATCCTTCAGGCCTGATTCCTGATGGAACAGATGTTCCCTGCCTACAAAAGAGGCTATTCACTTGCTTAAAAGACAGGGATAAGCAGAATCTGGGTCTCTGCTATAAAGACACCCACGCCTGTTAGGAAGGACATACAGCAATTTTAAAAAACCACAAGCCCAAACAAGATCATTCTCAGAGCTTCCCCTCTGAGCCAAACATCTCCGTTCCCTGGACTGTGCAGTGGAAATACAGGAATGGACATGATCCTCAGACCAGGCAGGAAATGCCTTGTCTGTACGTCAAAATGGGACTGCAACTCCCTTTCCATCTGGTCCAAAAGAGCTGGAGGGTTCCCCCAGAAAGAGGCCAGAGAAAGCAGCATTCACAGGAGCTTTTAATGCCATCCAGGGGAAAAAATGAGGCCAACAGAGTGGTGTTTGAGGCTGAAACCCAACTGACTGGACCAGATACCTCACAGTGGGAAGGTGAGTGCTGGCACATACTCCTGAGACGTTCAGGTAGAGCTGGGCTACAGCTACAGCTCAGCTGGCCTCCTCAGAACAGGGGGAGCCATTTGTGCTGCTCCTCTGCATTTGCAACACTCAAACCAAGAATGCCAAGGCCCAGCCCATGGTTCTGAAACACCTGCAGTTGATGCCAGTGGCAGCAGTTCCTCTGCCTGCACTCTCATCCTGAGCCTCTGCTTGTTGCATCCCAGATTTCCTGCATCCACAGACAGCAGTGCCACCAGCAAACCTGGATACACTCCCTGCCTTTCCCACCACTAGACACTGGAAGGTGGCACTGGAAGGAGATGGACTGACCACCTAAGGATGTCCCCTTCATCCCAGAAGTTCTCTCTCACTGATGTAAAACACCACTGGGTTTCAGAGTTAACAAGTTTAGCATTAGGTTTTAGACTTCCTCACCTTTGTACTAGGAGTGGGCTGTATGGGCTGTCTTGACCCCTGAGATTATTCTGCACCAAAATATGACATTTCAGTGCTCACAAACAGCATGCAGCTGTTGCAAGGGAAGATCCCTGGAACCCAAGGCATGGAAGGTGCTGCCCCAGACCTATGGGGAAGCCAGGAACAAGCAAGCACTCACCTCCTGGCAGAAGGTCACGATGTTTTCCCACAGGGCTTTGGCCTCGCCCTCATCCGTTTGCCTCCTCTTCTCCACGTGCATGCTCTCCCTCCTCTTGAGGGGCTTGAGGCCCTTGTGCTGGGCCACGTACTGCTGGGGCGTGTGGCAGGCGCCGCAGTGCTTGGCCTTCATGTCGTTGAGCAGGGTGCAGGCAGGGCAGGCCCACTGGCCTGGCCGCTCCTGCCCGCCGGGCAGCGGGGCCGGGAAGAGCCGGGCGACCTTGCGCGCAGACGGGGTCTTGGCGCCGCAGGAGCAGCCGGCCCTGTCGCAGGCGCCGCAGTCGGGGCAGCGCGGGGCCGGCTCGCCCGGCGGGCCGTGCTCCTGGAAGCCGTGCAGCTTGGAGGAGCCGCACACCTTGCACTTCTGGGCCTGCGTGGGGTTCTTGAGGGTGCACTTGGAACAGGACCAGGTGGTGAAGTCAGGGCTGGAGGGGCTGCACGGGGTGAACCTCACAGAGTCCCCCACCACGTTGATGGTGTCGCTGCCTTTTTGGGTGCTGCAAACCTCGCACTTGCTGGCCCCGGCAGAGTTGAGCACGGAGCAGGAGCTGCACTTCCAGTGGGACGGACTGACCTCCATCTCCTCCTCCAGCACGCTCAGCCGTTTGTTGGACAGCAGGTCAGGGAAGCGTGCGGCAGGGGCAGCCCTGGCCTGACCTTGGGGAGAGCCCTTCTGCCCCATGGCGCCCGTGGCTGTGGGCTGGGAGCCTTCGGGGCCCGGCATCTGCAGCTGTGGGGGCACCTCCCGCCGGCTTCGGGGCACAGGGTTGTTCTGGAGCCCCGGGGAGAAGGGGCTGAAGGCTGGTATCTTCTGGACCTCTTGCTCCATAGCCACCGGGCCCTGGGTGGCCACGGCATCACCATCAGAGATCTCTGCGGAGACTAAAGGCTGCGGGGTGGAGGGGGTCATGTGGAATCCGGCCGGGGTGATGACTTCAGGGACGACCAGCGCCTCTGGTGGGATTTTGGGCAGGGAGAGCTTGCGTGGGCCACCACAGGCAGAGCAGGAGTTGGCCACAGGCGTGTTGTGCAGGGTGCAGCGCTGGCAAGCCCAGCCGCTCTCCAGCTCTGCTTCATCGGGGCTCTTCCCCTCTGAGTCCTCACCGCTGCTTTCTGCCTTGGCAGCCTCCTCCTTGGACGTGCCCTTGGGCTCCACCAGCACGGCAGGCTTGGGCAAGATGCCGTTGATGACGGGCAAGGGGGAGCCACTGGGTCCTGGCTCTGGGGTGAAGCCACACACCTCACAGGTTTCCTTGCCCAGAAAGTTCCTGAAGGTGCAGCGGGCACAGGCCCACTTCTGCTCCTCCACGCTGAGCCGCAGGATGTGGTTGAGGTCGGGCTTCTGGCGGGGGGCCTCGCAGATGGAGCACTGCCGCTGGCCCACGGGGTTCAGGAAGGTGCAGCGCGTGCAGGACCACTCGCGGACGGCAGCCATGGAGCCGGGAGAGTGAGAGTGGCTGCAAGAAAGAAGAACAGAGTGAGGCTGAGGCCAAGACCACCCAATATGCAGAGGTGCCACGTGTTTCCTGGGCTGGCATAGCCAGGACCTTGCTTCCAGGAAGGGAACAACCATCCATCCAGTCACTGCTCAATTGGCACTTGCTCCTCTGGCACTGACAAATTCTCCAGGTGCATGGCAATGCATTGGCCTCCACCCAAAATGCTCCAGGAAGGGCAAAAGAAGTAGCCAGCACCCACTGACCCCATTCTCACAGTGGGGTTGTGCCCTGGTAAGCAAACACCATCTCTGTGCCCAACCCTGGCAACTTTGTGTGTCTGCAGGTCATTTGGAACTCTTTGGAGGAGGTGACACCCTGCTCTGCCTTCTTGCTGTTCCAGCATCAACTCTTTTCTCCTTCTCTACTCCATCCCACCTCTGTCTCACTTTCTGTTCCTGTCTCACTCCTCTCCTTTCAGCTCCACACCACTTATCCACACTGGGATAACTGTGTTATCCCACACCAGACCCCACCAAGCCAAGGAAGGCAGGCTTTGGTGTGCAGAGCTGTTTCTACCTGGCTGTAGGTTTGGGGGCTGGAAGCTCACCAGCAGCTTCCAAGCTCAGCAAAGAGGAGCACCACATCCCAGCTCCGGCTGCTTCCCCACTTATCTGTGAAGTAGAGAGGCCACCCCCTTCTGGCTGCACTAGTCTTGATTTCAACCTCCAACGCTGCCTGGGAATGCCTGAAACCCAGATGGGAGAATGGGTCCAACACACGACAGAACCACCTCGTCCCAGGGCAGGAAGTCTCAATTACGTCTTCTTGGCAGGTTCAATATTCCAAAAGTGCAGCAGCAGCACCAGCTCCATGGACCATGGCGATTCCTCAGTTGCAGGGAAAACTATTCCCCCAGTGCAGCCCTCCTGGTGCTCTCAGGATGCCATGTGTGCTCTCACACTGAGAACAGCCCTGCAAGGTGCCCTTTGTCCCCTGACTGGGGTCATTTCCTGCAGCTTGGAACAAAGGTGGGGCTAAAGCAGAGTTTTCTGCTTCCTCCTCCTTCACACAAGGGCAAACCAGATCTCCCTCAGTTGAACATGCACCAGGAGCCTGGAGCCCTGCCTCCATGCACTCCTGCTCCCAGATAAGATGGCCAAGTAATAAATCCAGTCTTGAACCTCAGCTCCAGGTCAGCTGTGCCTCTCTCCAGCAGAGCAGGCCCCTTCCAAGCCCTTCCTCCCTACTCTGCTTGCCTGAGACCACAGACAGGGTCAACTGTGCAGAAGAAGCCTCCAAGTCCATCCCATGACCTCAGCTCTTCACAGGAACAGCAAAGTCAAACTTCCAGAGATGAAGAGCAGCCTAAGTCATGGAAGCTGCACCTCAGTGGGCTCACCACTGGCTCCCTCTCCAGCATCCCTTCAACAACCAAATTCAACCACCACACTGACTAGAACAAAGGGGAAGAGGGTGTTTAATCCCAAAAAAGGCAGGCACAGTCAGCTCCAAGACGCCGGTGCAGCCTGTGGAAGGAACTGGGTCCTGGCTGGCCTCCAGAATCCCAAGCAGCAGCACCTGCAAACACACCTTCCCAAGGCTCTGAGCAGACTGCAATGCAGCAGCAAGGTCTGGAGGGGCAGAGGATGCAGCCAGAACCCCCTGGGGAGGAGGGAAGTGACCCTCCCTTTGGCTGGCACATGAGAAACTCTCCTGGGAACACTCCAGCAGCAGCAGCAATCCAACCACATTTCCCACACGGCACTCCACAGCCACTGGAAGTGCAGCTCCACCTCACAGAGATCAGATATAACCTTCAACTCCCTTCTTAAATCAAACACTTCTCTAAATAAAGCCTGAAATAAAGAAATCCATTTTATTGCAAGAGAGAGCTTGAAAATTCATTCTGGTTCATATATGGTGCCTGTATCACTTGAACTCTGCAAGGTGTTTATTTACTGGAGTTATTCCCAGCTAAGAGAAATATAAACACTGATTTTTTTGCCTCAAGTCCTACAGATGAGAGCCCCTGTACATCCCTCTCCCCTGTGGCAGCACCATGTCCACAACATCTGAAAGGCAGAGCATTCCTCAAGCAGAGGAGGGGAAGAAGCTGTCTGGCTCTGGCAGCAAATGGGGCCATGAAGGGCACCATGATCTTTTTTTGCCTTACTGGATGAGGTTCATCAAACCACAGGCATCAGCAAAAGGCAAGGGAAGACTGTCAGCAATCTCTGCCACCCACCTCCAGCTTCCTCCATGTCATGTACACAGTGCAGGAGAGCACTGGCTCCAAAAAATCCGCTCAAAACATGGATGCCAGTGCTTTTTGTGGATTGGGAGAAACAGCCACCAATCTTCCTCCTGTATATCCCTCACACACCCATGGTCCTACTCAGCAGGCAAAGGCTTCTAGCAATGCCATCACAGGACCGTGAAAGGAATCACCCTGTCCTTTCTCATAGAGAGGAGAAAACCTAGGATAACCTAAAAGACAGAAGAACCACACAAGGGGACATTGGGATGAGCCACATCACCAGACCTGCTTGATGTGGCATCAGCAACAAGCTGCAGGCTCAGGGAAGGCAGCACCATTTCACTTGGCTGGGAGGGAGATCCAGGCTCCAGGCAGCTGGAAGCGGGGTGGAAGCCAGGACACTGAAGTGTCCTGGAATGGCCCTGGGGAGCTGTGACATTCTTTCGTCACACTGTTCCCCTCCTGGTCCCATCTTCTTGCCCCATGCAACAGGAGTCGGCCCCTAACACTGTCCAGCTGCTGCTGGGAATTCCACCTATTTGACTTTCTCGGGAAAACCAAAAAGCCTCCCAGAAGGGCCATCAGCTCTTTCCTCAGAGGTCCTGTGGTGGCAGGGCCACCAGTGTGACAAGCTTTGGCAGGAGACTCCTCTGCCTTCTGTTGCACATTGTGGTGCCCAGCAGTCACATGGTTTTCCTTGAAAGTGAGAGGGAGACACACAGGATGGCAGAGGACACAGGACACGAACCTTCAGCTGTGCCCCACAGTTCTGGGTTCCCAGCTACCAATCCCCCAGCCTTGGCAACTGGCAGGACACCAGCCTGCAGCCTGCTTTCCCCATACTCCTGCCTAGGACTGATGGACAATTCCAGGCCCTGCCTGAAATGGAATTAAATTTAGGATCCAAGATCCCAGGGGTCACCAGGCTGGGACCTGCCTTTACATGGTCCAACCCATACCAGAACATGGTGGGTTATGGCAGCAGCCTCTGTCCCACAGCAACAACCTTCACCCAAAACTGAACCAGTTGAAGGAGAAATCCATCCTCAGCCTGTCCAAGCTCCATACTTCTCCTTAAACAGCCTGGCTGGCTCCTTTCCCAGCAGGCAACAAGGCTGCGTGAGGAAACAGGGTTATCTCCAGCACCTATTCACCAGGCCCATCTGTTGCGTGTTAACACAGTCACTCTCCAGCCCCAGCAAACACAACTGAGATAAACATTGCCTGCCACCTTCCTGTGGGAGAGGAGCTCCTCTGAAAGCAGGGACCTGGCAGCACTCAGCCACAGGAGGGCTTTCCTGGGTTAAGTTCAGAGGGAGCACGGTGATGCAGGGCTCTGCTCCACAGCCTGGAAGCAGGGAGCTGCTGGGAGGCTCTTCTGGGGTGCACACAAAAAGGGCACCTTAGGGTGCAAGGACAGGGTAACAGGCTACAACTCCACATCTCCAGCAATATGGATGGGGATAGATCCACATGGCTGTGCTTCTCACCACAGCAGCTCTCCCCAACCAAGGCAGGAGACATCAGCTGGTAGGAGGCACCACCACATTGGCAGGCGTGCCCCTACCTTGGCAATCACAGCAGTGTAATTATCATGCTTAAAAAATAATATAGAAAGTAATCAAGCAAGCAAGCAGCTTTCAGCACACTGATCAGGTCCCAGGGAACCTCACTGCTCCAGGGATTAAGAAGGTTCCAGCTGGTCACCTTCCAAAACCACTTTCAGGACAGTGATATTCCCGCCCCGGGCTCTGCTGAGTGATGAGTCTGCTGAGCCCTGCGTGTCCAGCTGCTGCAGAGCCCTGGCTCCTACACAGCCACCAAACTGGCCAGGGATGGCCACCACCTCTGGGCACCATCTGGGACCCAAGTCATCTCTGAAGCAGGGCAAAACAGGAAGGAACAAGGCAGGGTGGGAAACCGGGAAGAGCCCAAAAATCTGCAGTTTGTGCCTTTCCTGCTGGCAGGGAGTTGGTGGTGTGCCAGGGCTGTGTGGTGTGTAACTGAGCTCCAGGGCAGGAGATGGCTTCTGCCTCAGGCAGAAGCACCCTGGACTGCCAGAGAACTCCTTGAGGTGACCTGGGCACCAGAGTGAGAGATCCCAGGGCTCTGCTGCAGAGCTCACACTGGCAACAGGATTAGAGGAGATTGTGTCAATCACACACTGCAACACAATCAGGCTGTTTCTCTAAATAAAATTCCTCCAGAGCAGCTAAAGTCTTAAAACTTATGGCTTTGTTTCTCTCCCGCAGTAAATAAACAAATAAATAAAAATCAATTGTTCTAGTCAGCAACACAAACCCCGAGCTCTCTGACACACAATGCATCCCAGCAAAATCCTCACTGACAAATACAAGAAAAAGCACTAGAATTTTGTGGAAGAAAAATTACCAAAAAAAAAAAACCCTAAACAAATCCTGCCTCAATTTCTGTGAGTTATAAATCCCTTCCCCTCAACCCCATGCTTTCTATTTAATATTTCCCATTTAATTTTCTTTCAGTAGCACTGTGGACCCTGATCTAAGAGAGGACTGCTGAGCATTCTCCCACACAGACCTACCACATCTCCAGAGCCAGCAGGAGCAGAAGGCACCTGTGCCCACCAGGAAGGGGTGCAGGAGGTCAGGAACCACTCAGAATCCCTCTGGCAGTGCACTGTTAGGAGCACACGTGGGTTGGGATCATGAAGCCCGGGCGAGGAGATGCTGTTGGCTGAGCTGACTCACTCTTGCAGAGCCAGGCAAGGGCTGGGAGGCTGGAC